TTATTTTAAAAACCTTTACACTTTATTAAATTTCACATCTCTGGGATATTTACATAGAAGTTTTTGGTTAAGTGCATCAAAAATTGGGAGTTGAGCTAGGTAGTTATAGCACCAACTAGCTAGGCCATTGCTACTGTTACAGGTAGAATTTACAGTTAGCACATAACCGTTCTGGATGGATTTTCGTGTTTTATACATTTTTATAGATTTTACCATACTACTTTTAAAAATGCCATTAACTTGTCAATCTGGAGAGAAGTAATCTTGGTTTCTCCAAAGCGAGGTTGTTCAAAGAGTCTTCTAGAACAGATAATATATTATTGTTCACAACTTTTACACAGAATCCCACTTCAGATGATCTGGTTTAGGGCTTCAAGCCCTTAAGTCAACTTAAAGTCCATCAAAAGTTTAAAATATGGCACTTCTTAATCTTTCGCTCAGAACTTCATGATCGGGTCCACGGACCAAACGAGAACAATGACTCAGAACTTTACACATCAACAACCTCACATTTCTATCAACAACACATCAGACACAGAGGAACTCGGACTTCTTTTTCAGTCTCCTCTGCAGACAGACAGTTAAAGGAGCGGGCGTGAATCAGCTCCAAGCCACGGTGATGAGATGCTGTTCAACGAGCCCTTCAAGCAAAAAGTTGTTGATCTGGTACAAATGGTTCATCCTCCCCCCTCTCACGGGCAACAAACCTTATCCATCGCTGGCTTTGGTTCTCATTCAAAGGATTGCACGTTCTAGAAGCCTTCACATGAGTAATGACATCACTCCTCCTGCTCATTTCCTGTTTCTGCATCCGCTTTGTCCTCACGGAGGAAGCAGGTAGCCTGCTGATTGATAGCTTCCTGGTGACTTTTGGAAGGAAAGGGGTTACACTGATTGGGACGCATCTACGCAGAGTTTCTATTGGTGCAGAAGGTTCCAGTAACATTAACAGAAGCTTATACAGCCCCTTTCCAGACAAATGGAGTTTATTTTGAATCCAGGACGCAGAGCTGTAGCCCACAGCTTCCTGCTTGCTCTGACCACTGTCCTTTTTCACCTCAGTCTGACCCCACCCTACCCTCCTTCTTGGTTTGACAAGTCACATGACTGAGCAGCTTTTGGCCTTGTCCTTCCGGAGATCCGTGCCGACGGCTGCCAGGTCAGGCCGACTGGGCATGTGTGAAATCCTCTTGTTGGCGCGTGTGATCTTGTTGCACTTGAGGTTCTTTTTGCTTTTGTTGATGCAGGCCAGCGTGGCCACGTGGAAAATGTCTCTGACACTGTTCTCAGACTGCTGAGCCGAGCACTCGATGTAAGGCGCTGAGATCTGCTTGGCCATGCTGGAACCCTGGAGAGGATGGAAATCAGTGATGGTCAATGCCAGGGCGGTTGTTGGTTTAAAAATAAACAACTCTGTGAGCTGGAATACCTGGTCATAGGAAACAGGCGTCTGCCGATGGTTGGACAACTCCACGAGCGTGCTCAGATCAGTGCGCAGGTCTGATTTACAGCCAACTAAAAGCATCTTTGTGTTTGGACAAAACTCCTGAATCTCCCCTTTCCACTGCGGAGAAAAACAACTACATTCAACATCTAATATTAAACAACCTTTGATTCACATCTCTTAGGGTGGGGTTCTATCTAACGTCACCATTAATTTACATTTCATGACTATTGACGTTAAATGCTTTGTGTCAATTGCAGCAGAACTTGATGACTCGGATATGAAAACCACCCTTAATCATGAATATTTAGGTACATTTTAAAATCAGGATAATTTAACACGACTGGATGAAAAAACAGAAATACTGAAGTCCATCCATCCATCCATCCATCCAACCATCCATCCATCCATCCAACCATCCATCCAACCATCCATCCAACCAACCAACCATCCATCCATCCATCCATCCATCCAACCAACCATCCATCCAACCATCCAACCAACCATCCATCCAACCATCCATCCATCCAACCATCCATCCATCCATCCATCCATCCATCCATCCATCCAACCATCCATCCAACCAACCAACCAACCATCCATCCATCCATCCATCCAACCATCCATCCATCCATCCAACCATCCATCCAACCATCCAACCAACCAACCATCCATCCATCCATCCATCCATCCAACCAACCATCCATCCAACCATCCAACCAACCATCCATCCAACCATCCATCCATCCATCCATCCATCCATCCAACCAACCAATCAACCATCCATCCATCCAACCAACCATCCATCCAACCATCCATCCATCCATCTATCCAACCAACCATCCAACCAACCATCCAACCATCCATCCATCCATCCATCCAACCAACCATCCATCCAACCAACCATCCATCCATCCAACCAACCAACCATCCATCCAACCAACCATCCAACCAACCATCCATCCAACCAACCAACCAACCATCCATCCAACCAACCAACCATCCATCCATCCATCCATCCATCCATCCATCCAACCATCCATCCATCCAACCAACCATCCATCCATCCAAGGAGATGTTCAGAACAAGCAATAATATGATCTGTGTTGATGTATGTTTGTACAATGTACTTCTTTAATACTTTGATCACCAGAGGAATTTGTTTTAAAAGCACAAGCAGGAGGTTCCTGATAACGGAAGGCAGAAAATGTACAGAGTTCAAATTTTAAGGAGCCTGCAGACACAGATTTCTGCCAGCAGGTGGCAAAGTTGTGCTGATTAAGAAAATAAATAATTTAAATGACCATAAAAGTGAACAACATTGAGCCTGTTTAGAATAAAAATCAATTAAATAACTATTTTTTTAAGAATCTGAAAAAACACAGAAACCAACTACGTTAATCATTCACAAGCATGGACGTAATTTGGGGGGGGGGGGCATGTCCTCACCACTTTTTCCAAAGTCAAGTTTTGACCCCTGCTCTTTTTACCATCCAAAAACAATATTACGCTATATTAAATAGACACTGGTTGAGCTCTAGGACCAAGCGGAAAACAACCGTTTGTGTTGAAGCCTGTTTAACATTAGAACATACTGTAAAGATCCCCCCCCCCCCCCCCCCCCCCCCCCCGCCAAAAAGAAAATTACGTCCATGGTTACAAGTAGACACCGTGGACAGATGGTGTTGCTCTAAAACCAGAGAAGATGTGCTATGGGAGCCTAGATGTCCAAAAAGGAATTTAGTGGGGTTTTTTTTAGGAGTGTTGAATCCTGAAACTGGATGGAATAACATAGCCTGTTGTGCTACAGAGTTGATAATACTAAGAGGAAGATGCCATACCCTAACTAGCACATCAACTTTTACTTCAACTGCAGCCACATAAAAGTTTAAACGGGTCATTCTGCAAGCCGGAATGTCCTGACAAGCATTTCGATGAGTTTACCTGGCCTTGTAGTACAAAGGTTAAAGCGGGCACTTCCTGGAGCACCACAGGTTTGGAAACCTGAACAGGAACCACATATAATCCACATGTTTCCTCTTGAACAATAAATGGTTTGTGATCAACGGTATTTCTCTCGGGGCTTTAATCTGAGGCTAATGGGCCTCCAGGCCGGCTTGCAGGCGAGTCAGAGGATCAAGTTCATTAACACGTGGAGAGGAAGTTGGTTTGCACAATGAGCCCATACATCACCTGAGCAACCACTCAGAAGGATTTGTGCAATAATCTAATCCTAATGTTTACTATGAAAAGGTATTGATGATGTGAATCAGATTCTTAATCTCTAAGCATTTTCATCTGTATTGCAGCCGTGTGATTGGCTGACTGCATATTTAAAGACTGCCAATGTCATTTTGAATGAACAGATCCCCAATGCAGCAAAAGCAGATTTGACTGCTGAGACCAGAGGTTTATTATTTCAGTTGTCATGTCTTTGGGGGGATTACATTCCGACTTTAAGCCAAATAAACAAGACGTGGAGCTCTGGTGGACCTTGGCGCGTGACCTCAATTATTCAAAACGAGTTTGCTGTCAGAAGCTGCAAACAGATGGTAGGTGAGAGTACAACTGCGTCTGATAGCTTAGGTAATGTAATGTTACTCACACGTTCTTCACTGAGGAGGTTAAAACGGTACGATGTGAGCGTAAAGCTACGATCCTGACTCGAGTTTTCCCCCTTTCTGGAATCTTGTATTAGAAATCCATAAAAATAATAGTCTCGACCTGTTCTGTGATATAATGTAGACCGTATATCTATATTTTTTTGCTAAGACCCCTCCCCCCTCCAATTGAGCAGTTTGAATTGAGCGCACTTGGCATTAGCCAATAGCATTAGACATCGGCTTGCGTACAGATCACACGACACACTTTGTGATATATATCACTTTGTGAGATATATATATATATATATATATATATATATATATATATATATATATATATATATATATATATATATATATATATATATATATTATTTTATGCTCTGTTGGCCGGCTGCATGGTCACAAACAAGAGGCTGTGCTTCCAGTTTTAACTATGGAAGTTGTAAGAACGGCTCACGTGTAGTACATTCGTCAGCCTCTAGATGGAGCTGTTGGAAGAAAAAAACTCCATATTTTTGCTTTATTGCTTATGTGGGTCATGTCGATAAAACTTTAATAAGTTATGGGGCGCGGGGTGGAAATCTGCTCATCTAATCGGTTACCTCATTGGATTTAGTTTATATGGTTGTTCAATCTATAAATGAACTATGCAACAGGAGGAGTATCTCCCATTTTTTCAGAGAAAAATTTTAAAAATTCAGAAATTCTTTATCCAGATACTAACGTCCCATTAGCTTGAATAAACTTTAATATATATATAACCTACTGGTTAAAAAAACACTTACATTTACGCAGCAGAAAAATACAAATACCTGCTAAATTTACTAGAAATTATTTTGGGGGTAAAGGGCCAAAACCTTTTTAAAACAGATATTGTATTAAGTGTAAGTTTTAGGTTTGCTGGGGACAAAAAGTCACTAAGACCCTGTGCACGTTAGCAATTGCTACTTCCAGTTTATAAACCTTGGCTTGTACCTGCAGTTCCAGTTGTCGCCACAGCGCCATCAAAATGGATGGACCCTGCAGCGAACTGTACTTCTCTAAATGCCTTGGAAATTTACCGAGAATCTCAGTGGACGATGTTCATCGCACAGTAAATGACTTTTCATCTGCTCCACAAAGTACACGGGAAAAGGGGCTCAAATTTTATATTTCCCAGTGTGCAAGGCTGGATTAACCATATGGGCAACTGGGCAATTGCCCAGGGGCCCACAAACTCTAAAGGGCCCAGAGACCCAGGGCAGCAAGGGCACAAGCAAAATACTGTATCTGTAATCTCCCGCTTTACATTAAACTAGGGTGACCATACGTCCTCTTTTCCCCGGACATGTCCACTTTTCACTCTCTGTCGTCCGGGGGGTTCTTGTTAGGGATGCAACTATACCACTTTTTTCCAAATCGATACGATACCAATTACCAATACCAATACTTCTACCACACAAAAAAATGCAATGATTTGGAATACAGATTTTATTTTCTTCTCTGCTTTCAACAGGAAAAGACTGTGAGGTAGATAAACAGTAAAATATATGAATGGAAATCATCACTAAACTAAAATATTAGGTGAACAGAAATGACAAGTTACAGTGAAGCCATTTTCAAGCAACTACATTGGTATCGGTTCCTGGTATCGGTTAACTTTTACCGATACCGATACTGGTATTGGTATCGGTGCATCCCTAGTTCTTGTATAAATGTCCGGTTTTTCATCCAGGAGAAGGGATCGAATTATGGGGGAGCAAAATACAGTGTCTGTAATCTCATCACATCCAGGGAGAGCCGGAAAAAAGGTTTCTACCTATATTACATTATTTATGGACTCTTTTGAGCGGAGAGCACAGAGAGCAGCCAAGAGCTGTTCGTTGGTGCGCTCCAGGCTGCTGCGTCCAGCGCTTGGTCCATTCTCAAAGTGGTGCAACCAAAAAACTATAATTAACCCACGATCGTTCATGTCTGCTCATGTTCTCTACTTTCTGTCTTATTTGTGCCTGAAGCGCTCTGCTACTGCGGAGCTCGTCACATGTGCTGCGGTGATTTCACCTCACTGACGCAGCATCGAAACGCGCTCTCCGCTTTGCGGTCAGGAGATCCCTTTGATCTGCTCAAAAGTAACTGATGAGGTGAAAAAGTAAGAATCCAGGCAGCAGATTTTCTGGAGAATTAAGAGGAGATGCAGGAAGATGAGAGACAGAGAGGACAGGAAAATAGTTTAAAAAAATCAAAAAACAAAACAAAGTGTTGAAAAGTACTATATTCAACAAACTGTCCACCCGGGCTTTTGCGCTGCAGAGACGCTTCGCTGCCTATGACTTTGAACGTCAGTTGAGAGCGGTTGAGAGTCAGTCTTATGCAGACTGACCAATGAAGAGAGGGCCTCAAGTTAAGACCCTCTCCTCATTGGTCAGTCCACACAAGGTGGGTCAAAGGTTACCCTGAGCGGGTTACGTGATGTCAGGCATTCAAGTATTGAGTATATTTACTGCATAATACAGTAAAACATTCTGTATGTGACCATATTTTAACAAATCAAATAGAGCTCTTCATTCATTTGGCCAATCGGGTGGGGTCTCATAGGTCAGAGTCCCGCCCCCGAGGCGAACGGCACATAATTTAGATGGTTAGCAAACACCCGAGTTAGCTTTGTTCTGCTCTTTTTCTGATTCTGCTTTTCCCAGGATCCACTGATCGCCTTTTCTTGTTCATTTTCTTTTTCCCTTTCCTCACATTTTTAGCTTTTCTCATTGTTTCTTTGATTTTTGTTCCTGAGTTAAGTTTTTATGTATCTCAAGTAATATCGTCATCGCAATATTAATTGTCGTCGTCGTCGTCTTCCTCCGCTTATCCGGGTCCGGGTCGCGGGGGCAGCATCCCAACTAGGGAGCTCCAGGCCGTCCTCTCCCCGGCCTTGTCCACCAGCTCCTCCGGCAGGACCCCAAGGCGTTCCCGGACCAGATTGGAGATGTAACCTCTCCAACGTGTCCTGGGTCGACCCGGGGGCCTCCTGCCGGCAGGACATGCCCGAAACACCTCCCCGGGGAGGCGTCCAGGAGGCATCCTGACCAGATGCCCAAACCACCTCAACTGGCTCCTTTCGATCCGGAGGAGCAGCGGTTCTACTCCGAGTCCCTCCCGAATGTCCGAGCTCCTCACCTATCTCTAAGGCTGAGCCCGGCCACCCTACGGAGGAAACTCATTTCGGCCGCTTGTATCCGCGATCTCGTTCTTTCGGTCATTACCCAAAGCTCATGACCATAGGTGAGGACTGGGACGTAGATCGACCGGTAAATCGAGAGCCTGGCTTTCTGGCTCAGCTCCCTCTTCCCCACGACAGATCGGCTCAGCGTCCGCATCACTGCAGACGCCGAACCAATCCGCCTGTCGATCTCCCGATCCCTCCTACCCTCACTCGTGAACAAGACCCCGAGATACTTAAACTCCTCCACTTGAGGTAGGACCTTTCCCCCGACCCGGAGGTGGCAAGCCACCCTTTTCCGGTCGAGAACCATGGTCTCAGATTTGGAGGTGCTGATCCTCATCCCAGCCGCTTCACATTCGGCCGCGAACCTACCCAGCAAGAGCTGAAGGTCAGAGCTGGATGAAGCTAGGAGGACCACATCATCCGCAAAAAGCAGAGACGAGATTCTCCTGCCACCAAACTCGACACACTCCACACCACGGCTGCGTCTAGAATTTCTGTCCATAATGGTAATGAACAGAACCGGTGACAAAGGGCAGCCCTGGCGGAGTCCAACCCTCACCGGGAACAGGTCCGACTTACTACCGGCTATGCGGACCAAACTCACGCTCCTCTGGTAAAGGGACTGAATGGCCCTTAACAGAAAGCCACCCACCCCATACTCCTGGAGCGTCCCCCACAGGGTGCCCCTGGGGACACGGTCATAAGCCTTCTCCAAATCCACAAAACACATGTGGATTGGTTGGGCAAACTCCCATGCCCCCCTCCATCACCCTTGCAAGGGTATAGAGCTGGTCCACAGTTCCACGGCCAGGCCGAAAACCACATTGCTCCTCTATCTGAGATTCAACTATCGATCGGACCCTCCTCTCCAGTACCTTGGAGTAGACCTTTCCAGGGAGGCTGAGGAGTGTGATCCCCCTATAGTTGGAACACACCCTCAGGTCACCCTTCTTAAAGATGGGGACCACCACCCCGGTCTGCCACTCCCTAGGAACTGCCCCCGATGACCACGCAATGTTGTAGAGACGTGTCAACCATGACAGCCCTACAACATCCATAGCCTTGAGATACCCAGGACGAACCTCATCCGCCCCCGGGGCTCCGCCGCTGTGTAGTTGTTTGACTACCTCAGCAACTTCTGCCCCCGAGATCGGACAGTCCATCCCCAGGCCTCCCAGCTCTGGTTCCTCCTCGGAATGCGCATTGGTGGGATTGAGGAGCTCCTCAAAGTATTCCTTCCACCGTCCGACTATAGCCTCAGTTGACGTCAGCAGCTCCCCATCCCCACTGTAAACAGTGTGAGCGAGTTGCTGCCTTCCTCTCCTGAGGCGCCGGACAGTATCAATATTAATCGTTGTTATCGAATAGCGCAGATTTCCTAACATCGTGCAGCCCTAGTATCATTTTTTCACACAATTCTTTAATTTCATAATTCCAAAGATTAGTTTTCCCAGATTTTCATAAAAACCAAAATAAAAATCTGTGTTTGTTGTTTTTTGTTGACGTTACTCAAGTGGAAAACTGGAGTAAATCTCCCTTCAGCTTTTGTAAACATAAAGACATTTAGACAGGAAGTCCATGTTCAAACACCATCTCATGTTTTCACGAGGACGTCTTCTGTTTGCAGTCAGGCGACTGGTTCTGTTCCTGTTTGGACATGTGGGAGCCAGCTAGCATTAACCGCTAAGCAGCTTCACATGAGCTGCTGGTGGTTCCACACTTCCAGCCTCACTTGGGATTAAACAGCAGCACCTCCCAGACACATTACAGATTTACGGCTCCACATCACAAGGTCTCGTGTGGCTGGGACCGCAGAAATGTCTCCTGACTGTAGATTTTAGGCTTCCGCACTGCTAAAGGCAGCCTGGTTGGTGTCAGTAAATCAAAAATGTCTTAAATACCATCATCGTCACCAAAAATATGCAAACCTTTTTCAACACGCTGTCAAGAGTTTCAGGACGACTGATGTCAAAACAGATGAGGACAGCATCCGAGTCCGGATAGGAGAGGGGCCTCACGTTGTCGTAGTACGGGGATCCTGGAACACAAAGGGACCGGTTACTGGGAGATCTAAAAGTTTTAGACATGAGAAAAGAGCTGCAACATGAGCTTCAACTCCAGAGCAGATATTCTCAGAATGCACGATCGCAGTTAATCCATAGCAACAAGGGAGGAAAACAAATAATGCTGCAGCAGTCGAAAAATCTGCTGAACATACAAGATTAGCTGTTGAAAACATTTTTTGAGACACACTGGGAGGAAATGTCTCGCTCCTTTAATGAGAACCATGTGTGAGGGCAACGCCCATGACTGGAGAAGATCTCTGGAGAGAGAGGGTGGGGGTGGGGGACTTGTCAAGGTGGGTCAGGATCCCATGACAACCCAGAGAAAAATGACCAGAAGCATCCTGCTGCCAAGAATCTGGAGAATTCTGTGTCTGGTGGTAACTGAAGATTCCCCTGGGAGACCTTCTCCAAACACAGTCTGCAGAGAAAAGCTGGGAGGAATGCACTACCTCACACACACACACACACACACACACACACACACACACACACACACACACACACACACACACACACACACACACACACACACACACACACACACACACACACACACACACACACACACACACACACACACACACACACACACACACACACACACACACACACACACACACACACACACACACACATCTGACATGAATCTGCTGGAAGGCTGCTAGATAATAAAAATTTAAATATTAGTTTATCGTATAAGAGGTTGCCCTGCTTTAGCTTTCACCTGGGGTGTGAGCGGTGCGTAACGTAACGGACGTGTTTACCCACGAGCTCCCTTCCCACCGGGTGCATTTCAAATGCAAAATGGCAGCGAAAGCGTTTCTCACAGCTGGTCCCCGGAGCTGACAAAATTACCGGAGAATTGCAACACCACGCGTGTCTTCGGCCGTTCACGTGATAACACGCAAGGAGAAAGATGGCAACACATATAGTATCCAAAATGGTCTGTAGTTTATTTTCTGTTCTGCTTACCATGTCTATGGGTGGTGTACAATTTATCCCTACGCTTCTGGAACGCTTCCAAAATGTAACACTTTGCGGCCAGTAGAAATGCCCCCTTCCGTTATATTGGCGGCTAATTGTTGTGTACTACTTTTAATGCACTATGACACATACATGTTCAGTGGAAAGGCTCGGGGTGTTTCTCAATGCCAAGGAACCCCGCCTTGATTTATCGGCCCCGCCCCGGTTGCCTAGGAGATACGTCATCAGGAACCGCCAAGACGTGTTCCAATGTTCCATGTTCTACAGAGGTGTGTGTTCTCCGTTTGTTAGCCGTTTAGCTAGCTGAGCAAGGATATATGGGAGGTGTCTTGTAGCGTAGCCTTGGTCAAAAATTACCCAGAATACACCATGATATTTTCTAAAGAATGGCGGATCAGAAGCCGGCAGCTACATCAGGGGCAAATTTCAAGTTTAATGTAAGTCAACTATTTTTAAATGTTTTCTTTTTTTTTAGATCCAAATAAGTTATCTATGGTTGTTTAGTTACTTAGGAGTTGCAGCTTCGGTGGCTAGTGGGTAGTAACTCGCTTACATATTTAATTTAACAAACATGTACACAATTTAAAAAGTAAAAGGCTCGTTGTATATTTATATTGAAACGTACACATATAAAATATAACGTTATCCCCCATGTCACATGACGTTACATGACCACCGTAGAAGCCGCGGCCATGTGATGCAAGTCTGTTCCATTTAACCGTTTTCTTTGACCAAGGAAGGACAGTGCCTTCGTAAGCAAGGCTCCTGGGCCAGGCGCCTTGACACTGAGAAACACCCACGAACTTTAGTATTTAGGTCTGTAGGAAGAGGTTGTGATTGGATAAAATAAGGCTAAAGAATTGTATTGAATTGTGGAAAGATAATCTGCAGACAGTTGCCCAATAGTTGACCCAATGTTAGGGCTGTAGCGAAGCCTCGACGAAGTCGACGGCTCGATTCTAAAAATTTGTCGACGTCAGATCCGGAAGTCGACGCACCGCGCCCACTTGTTGCATCCCCAGGAGTTTGTAAATAGAGGAGGAATCTGCCCGTTTTTCCTCTAGTTCGCCCTCTTCTCCGCCTTCACTAACATCTCCGCCAAATACCGAAGACCCGGAACAATGTCCGTCCACTACTAGATTCCTTTCCTGTTTTGCCCGCCTTCGTCTCCCGGCAACGGACAACAACTTCCGGGGTCAGATGCGCTGCTTCGTGTCTATCGCAGATGTAGAAAATCACCGGGAGCGTTTCTCCCTTCATAAAGGAGCTTCTTTCAGACATTAGGAGAGCTGTTTTGGTGGTAGCAGTCTCTCCTCCGTGCTGGTCTGTTTGCTGCTGGGTGTTTTTGGTTTATTTAAACTTGGTAACTTGAACTTAACGTTGGTAAAGCTACTGTTAGCATCTTCGCTAACAGCTTCTTGCGTTGGGATAAGCTGTTACGTTTTGGTTTAGAGTTCATCTTTTTTGTGGTGTAGATCTCCCTTTTATTACATTTAGAGTGTTGTGGGTTTTCGGTTTAGTGTAAAATATCACCTGAGTTTGGTTTAACCCGTAAGACCACTCGCCTCACGCACATAAGTGACCAAAACAAAGCAGCATGGAGACACTCCATCTTCTACCACCTCTCAGGCAGCAGCCTGCACTCCCAAGTTCTACACGTCATCAGAACATAACCAACCGCAACACAATAAAAGCAGTGTTATACAAAATGGAAGGCCTGTAGTGTTTATTCTCTTACAGTAAGAATTTATCAATTTTTTTGAGGAATTTATTTGAGATTTTCTGGTTTTTGTTAATTGTGCAATAGAAAAATAATCATTAGATTAGTTTTCTAAATAGTCATTAGAATAGTCGACTATTCGATAAAATAATCGTCAGAATAATCGTTTTAAAAATAATCGTTTACCCCCAGCCCTACCCAATGTGACCTGATATTTAGAACGGTTATCACGAAAAGCGTTGTACATACTACGTACATAGTGTTGTATCATACATACTGTAATTAGCACATTTTTGTGCAGTTTTGCGTAGCCAACATTTGCAGCCCATTGAAAATTACAGCCTGAAAATATATTCAGATGGAAACTTATCATGTTTTCTACTACTCTTTAAATATGTTTGGAAAGTTGTCAGATACGTGACGTAACTCAACTTGGCCATGTTTAACATATCGATGATGTTGGTTGTGGAACATTGGCAACCAGATTGTATTGTTCTAAAGTTTTTTTTTATTATCCCCGCACATTTCTTTTAAACACTCCCTTACAGTCCTAAAATCTGTGATACAGTTAACTCATATTTTACCAAGAATTTTCCTTTTGGTTAAATCACCCTAATAAATAGATATATCCAAGCTATTGCCTAAAGACGCCTTGTTGATATAAAAGATGTTAAGACTAATAAATGCTGGTTTCCGTAGAGAAAAACGAAAAAGGCACAGAAAAAAACAAGAATTTGTGTAAAAGTGTGCTGAACTTTTGATGCTGTAATCGTTTCCAGATGATTCTTTTCATCATCTATGATTAATGGCGTGTTTGTAACTGTTTTACAGCTGGGGGCCACAGACCGATCTGTGGTTGGACGTCGTTCCACCAACTGTTCAGATAAGAGGAAGCGACACACACAAAGACCTGGTGACTGTCATGTAATTAGCTCCAGTCATTGTTTTCCCACAGGACCTCTAAATCTGGAAGGACACACACCCCATCCTTTTCCTCACACACTCTTGCCTTTTCTGACACATAGAAAATGTTACCAGACTTCCAATGTTTTTACCTTACACACATTTTGTCTTTTGTTATAGCAAAATAATGACAAATGATAAGGACTGCTGACTTTCTATCATGAAAAAGATGGTAACAAGCCAGGTGCAGCTGACAGGCTGATGGCAGAGCAACACGCAGGCCTGCAGTTTTAAACGCATAGCTAACATAGCTGAGCAGATCCGTGCTGATGGGTCGCACGGGAGGGTGTCGAACCCTCCGGGGCACCTGTGGTAATGGCAAACAGCGACAGATGTGTGTAACCTTCCTGAGGCTCGAGTCCAAACATACAGCACCTCTCAACCAACGGAATCAAGTACTAAAACAGCGGTCGGGTCTGCAGCTTAAGGCGTCAAAGCCACACGTGGATCACTGGACAGTGACTCTAAACGACTTGGAAAAAAACGGATGAAAAAATAAATGATTTCCATACTATTTTAGCATGTGTTAAAAATTTTTTTCAATTTTAAAGCCTAATAGAAACAAAATAGTGGTTTCTCAAAAATGACAATTATTTCTAGTAGATATTTACAGAAGAGCCACTTTAAACTAAAGTTACCTCAGCCAATACCAGCTGCTGTAGTTGCTGTGGTTACAAAGACATCCTCAGCTGTCAACACCAAGCTGGCCAATACAAAAGCAGGATAATGCGATCATTTTTATTTACCGAGCTGAGTCGAGCGATGTTCAATATCCAGGGTGTGGTGATGTGGGGTTATACCAAACGCTTGGAAAGAGTTGCTTACATTTGAATAAAGGTATGGAAAAGCCCAAAAACCGGAGGTATAACGCCATTAAAAACCTGCACATGAGTGATTATTTACTAATGTTTTTATGTTCATCCAAAACTGGAGAAACAAGATCCAACAAGAGGAAAACATGCAGGATGGTCACATGGTTCTTATTACTGTTCTGGCAGGATAAACGTACACTGAGGGCCAGGAATGTACCAGACTTTGCTGTCAGGTGTAACATCACACAGGGAAGCTTCCCATGGCATTACCAGACAGGATGTCTTTTAATCTCTCCCACTATTCGATCCCACCCCTCCAGCCTTCCGTTGATATCACCATCCCACCATTGGTAGGTGAACTCTGCTGTGATTCGATTCCCCTTCTGCCTTAGAAACGAGGTAAGGCTTTCCATGCCGCTTCTCTTTGGCTGGTCGGGGATCAGTGTCCGACGGGTTACAATAGGGGTCTTTGTCAAGAAGGAAGTGGAAACCT